AGTTACTTTGTTAAAGCCAAAGATTAGTGCAAATGCTATTATACTTTAATAAATGAATTTAGTTTCAAGCAACATAATCCAATTTCACAATAAAGAGTTTTATGTTGCAGTATAATTTCTCAATAGAACATTTATTGTAATTTTTAGAACCTAAATGTATTTTTACTTCTGAAAAAAATATTCCTAATTAATGCTACCTACTTAAAAGGAAGAAATGAAAATTAACGGTACTGAAGGATGAAGCACTTTTGTGCCTAGTCTTTCTAAACAAAAGTCAACTCTGCAGTGTCAGACTGTTGAAGTAAAAGTTGCTCTTCAATGAACTAATTTTGTTAATTGGAATGCTGCTTAAACTGAAAAAATCTATTTAGGTCAATCACAAATGTTAGTGGAAAGCTATGGAGCCACATCTTCCCCCTCTCGCCCCCTAGGCTGAAACTTCAAATAGCTGCTATAAAGCCTGATAATTCTAAAATACTTTGACTGATTTGATATTTAGTAACTGTACATCATTCGGTAAAAATTACTGGCTAAAAATCTATAGTGCTTTCCAAAAACTATATGTCTGTATATTGAGCTTTCAGGTAGTAATATTTTTTCAGTGATGGTAGGGAAAAATTACTTCAGTCTTTTCTGGATATTTAATTAGAAATTATGTGTGCACACAGACATGCACGCACACAGGTGTACATGTAAATGGATGAAGATATTAGGACATCTGTAGAGACATCTATTTTACTGGTTTCCTGTTCTGGGATATAATGAGATGTTTCTGAAAAGGATCATATGATACAGAACATTTATCATGAGTCTTACTAATAAAAATAAATTGTGTGCAAGTAGACATTTGGAGTATTTGCATTTGAACTACCTCTATTTTTTCTGTTTTGATTTAAAAGTTATGTTTTTTGGTCTTTTATTATGTATACCTATGAGGCAGCAGCTAAAGTCAGACAATGAATACTACAGTTTAAAGTAGTCATAGTTAATGCTCATTTTGGATGAATACTGTTATTTATTAAATATCTTTTTCTCATAAATCCAATAACTCTTTAAGGTAGAATGTAACACTACTTCAGAAATTGTTCAGTAGAATTAATCATCTTAAAATAGTAAGTTTTTTTTAAAGTAAATAATAGAAATTATATTTATAAAAGATCTGTTTCCTCCCCTTTGTTTCAATTTTAAATTTAAATCAAACTAAGCTTATATTATTCATCTATTTCACTGCTTCACTGGAACAGACATGACTCTGTTTCAATATGAAACAAATCTCAGAGTTCTGCCTAGAGAAATTTAGAATCATCACAGAATACCAGATTGGAACAGACCTCAAGGACCTTTCGAATTAGAATAAAGCAAAATGAATTTTAGAATTTAAAAAGCCAATGTCACAAAATACTTGTTTTCTGAGTTATTTAAAACTCAAATACAAAGCAGAGAGGAGTATACATGGAGCTAAGTTTAAGTATATGGCTTGACGGTTTCCCTAGCTAGGCCCAGGAAGTCTCTGATAAATTTTCTCCTACACTGTCTTAAACTCTCTTTAATGCATATTTTTAAAGGCAAATTGTTATAGCATGGAATATTCTCTTTGATTATATAATTTTCTTGCAAATTCCATAGTACAGTACCTTAATTTTGATAATGAAAGTAATTTTCTTTTGAGAACTTGGGTTACTGTAGAATTTTAAAGCCTGTCTGCGGGTGAGATTTAATTTAATCCCTTGAGTATTTAAGAAGCATTCCTGAGACCTTCGCTGAAAAGTGACAAGATTAGCACTTGCAGTTTATTGACAGGATGCCCCATAGGATAGACATTTATCTGTAAGGGTATTGTTTTTTAAAAAGCAATAAAGTCTGTCTTAGTGTCTGGGAATATACTCACTTTCTGAAATACAGAAAGGATGGAGCGGTTTCTTTTTGTACAGCTTGTGGCACAGGGACATAGCAGTTCACAGAGGTAAGAATTGCATGTTGACAAAACTACACAGTAACTGATTTCCTATCAGATAAAAATATAAGTGCTTGAGGATTTAAATGTCTTAACAGTCCCTGTCATAAATGGAATTCAGACTCAGAAGTAAGTTATTATTCAGCAAAAAAATGGTATCCTTACGTTACATATATGCCTGTACCCAAATATATATTGGAGAATGACAGAGGTTACCAGAGGCTTTGTTGTTTTTTCTGAATTTAAAAAACCCAGGAAGAACTAAATCATATCTTGTGTTCCAAGATTTTAGCCTGTGAGACTGCTCAATCTCTCTGCCTCCCATAATCTTTTTGAGAGAACGCTTTGTAATTAACTGGTCATAAAATCTTGTCTGCATTAGCAGACCTTTACTAATCTCCTCCCCATCCCAACAAACAAACAAATACTCTGTGGTACTGATTCTACTTTCACATACCCCAGTGTGGTCCTGTTCCCATCAAAGTATTTCCTTCAGATTTATATAGCACAAATAAAAGAATAATCAGATCCTTTCCTCTTATTTTATCTATGGACTACGCACTGAATGACTTATTTTAAAGCAGTTGTGATTCAATGGGGATGTTTTTAATTTGCTGCCTGTTCTCTTTACCTCTGAGGAAAGAATTTTGTAAATGCTGAATAATTTTAGAACATGTTTTCTTGGTTAAGGGTTGGATCATATTTTAAATTAGTTTTAAGAGGAAGGAAATCGTGTAAATGCTGTGGAATTCAGATAAGCACTGTGCATAGGAAATAAGTACTTTAATTTAGGGTGCCTAGAATTGGTAGGTCAAGCTGATGATAATAAAGGACCAGATCTTAACTTCGTTTCAAAGAACATGTAATCAATATTCACTCTCCTGTTTTATTTCCTTTTTGCTTGAGAATTTATTTTGAAGCTGAAATGTGCAGTTGCTTAAGTGTTCCACAGGGTGTCATGAGGTAGTTGTTGAAATCATTAATACTTGGATGAAAGTAAAGAAAGAAACATAGTGTGCAGTCCTCTGAATGCCAGTTAATGTAATTTTAGATGTGACTAATACATATGCCATAAAATAAAAAGTTCTTAACTCATTAACACATGTATCTTATTTCTGTATCTGTATAAAATATACACATGAAGAAAAATATTACGAGAAGTCGTTTACAAGAGTGAGCTATTATATGTCAGGTCTTCCCAAAAAACCTTTCTATATATACCTTCCTATTTTATAGTTTACACAGCGTGGAATCTTTGGCCCATAGCAGTAATCTGACATACTACACTATGTATATATATATATAAAAAAAAAAGGTACAATACTTTTATTTGCCATACTGTTATAATGCATTTCAAATTGTAGTGTGCTCCTCCAGATTTACTTTCAAGTTTTATTTTAATTTTTAAGTTCTTTTAAAATTTAAATTTATTTAAACAAGCTTTATACAGTGCACACAGCTGTGGATTTTATGATTTGTTAATTATAGATATGTATGATGTCAAAACTTAACTTCAGGCTTTTTTTCCTATACATGTATAATGTAGTAGGAAGAGAATTTGTACCAAAATATGCCCCAAACTAACATGTGATTGACTATGGTGGTACATTTTTGCATATGGAGACCAAGTTTTTATTGACATAACAGTTGACTTCTGCAGAGCTGCACATCTATTGAATTCAGCTTCAGGTTAAAGAATCTTTAAGTTCAAGTTAAAGAATCTTTAAGTACAATATAGCAGTAAATTTGAAGGATCCGGTTTAAATCTGACTTGATTTAAATGGAAATGAGGTTGGCTTTGAGAAAGATTACATTACTTTATGAAATGAACAGCAAAACTTCATTCCTTTCAGTAGCAACGGAACGTGATCCAAGGTGTAAGTTCACTTATGAAAGTAAGAATTTGAATCTCTGTTGACAGTAATAATTTGGCAAATTTTACCATCATTTTCAAAATGAGTTTTAAACAAATGATACCTAATGGGTTTAGGCATATGTTGTCTTATCATATAAAATGGTATACCAAAATAATAGACTAATTAATTTTCTTGTGGCTATTTACTTGTGCTAAGTATCATGGAACAAATTTTGGTTTTATGCCAGTGGCATAATAGTGAGTGGCACTGAGAGTGTAGGATGAAAGGAGGTTGATTCTTCTGACATTTTCTGACAAATTCTACACATTTGACATACCACATGTCCTCTCTGCATTCTGTGCAGAAGGTCATAGGGCTTTACAGCCATAGAAGGTGATTGCTGTGACAATCAGAAGCTGAGTGCTTTTATTCAGATTTGCTTCCAAAAACCACATGGTCCTGTGGACAATTGTTTGTGCAAACCCTTTCTGATTTAACCTCTATAAATCATGATGTGTTTAACAAACCAGTGTGTTTATAGGTACCTTAGCAGTATGTTTAAATACTTGCTGGAGGAATAAATAGACCTGTTTAAAGGAGTTTTAATATCTAAAATAGTGACATATCTTAAATCTTCGTGGAGATGAAAAAAGTGAGTGGAAATGGTGGCCTTTGGGTTGTTTGGGATTTTCTGTTTCTGGGTTTGGCTTTTTAAAGTATAATCTTCCTGATCTCTGCCCAGATTAGTTTCCTTTACAGCAGGGCATTGTGGAAGAAGATGTTTCTAGATGGGTAGGTTATCATCTTTCTGGTTCCCCAGTTTAAGGCTCACTGAACTTGCTTTGCTTCTCCCTTTCTTTGTCCTTATTGCAGCTAGAATAATCTAAAGGGGTAATTCCACACATACTTTGAATTACTGAGATAATGCAGTACCTTAAACGAAAGTGATTAATATCAGAAAATATTTAAATAATAAAACATCTGGCTGCACTGAGACTTTTTTCTGTAACTTATTAGAAAGGATAGAAGTTAAAAACTGCTGATATTATACCATGCAAAAACCTGGCAATATACTGAGGCATATATATCGTATGTGTGATATGTATACATTCAGTTGATCCCAGCACCCAAGTCCCTCTTTGAATGTTAAGACAAGGTTGATGAATATTATAATCTGGTTTTATTTTCAGATTGAAAATCTACAGGAGCAACTTAGGGACAAAGACAAGCAACTAACGAATCTAAAAGACAGAGTGAAGTCATTGCAGACGGATTCTAGTAACACAGACACAGCACTAGCAACCTTAGAGGAAGCTCTATCAGAAAAGGTAATGTTTTTCTCATGGAACAACATTATGTGCTGCTCTTGTGGGTAAAGAGTGTTCAGAAAATGTCTTTTTAAGTTGATCTGGCACCTGTAACAAAGCCTATGGGCCTTGTCAGGAAAGCAGGTGGCTCTGTTCTGATAGAGTCATAGCAAGAAGTGATTCCTGGTTGATGAACTGAAACAGGACTCTGAGGTAAAGAAGGATGTCCTTTTAAATGGGGATGGAATAAATGGCCCAGGACATGGGAAGAGTTTCCCTTAGACAGTTGGCGAGTGGCTGTTCCCTGAAAGAACTGAAAAGCATGGACACCTGACTTAAAGGAGTGGAGTGGAGTTTGGGGTATTTTTATAGCTTTGTGCTCTTGATTATCATGTTCTTTGTTAAGCAGGGCCTAACTGAAGAGCCAACAGCAAGTGACTGTATAAACTGTCACCTTGGCTTGCTTTTAGCTCTATTGATTTTCTACACTTCATTTATAGGAGAAATTGTGTTTCATAAAAAATGGAGAAGTACTTTTTTTTCTTTAAAAACTATATGCCTTTAATTTGAAAATACCTAGCAAAGGAGACAAATAAATGTTTTAATTAGTGGCAACATTCCTACCAGTTTCAGTGAGGTCAGGGTTTTTCTTCCTGGTAACTTTGAATACAAGGTAATCCAAGTGAATTTATATGCCAAAAAAAATAGTACAAGTATCCACTTTTTGCAGCTTATAGATCTTAATATATATCATTTAAATGTGCACAGGTGAGTGCAACTAATTAAACTGTTATGTGCTGTTCTGCAGTGTGTAATCCTAGGAGGGTATTTATGACTGTATATGACTTCAAAATGCCACTGTGATGTTGGTACTAACACCTAAAATGCTAATGTTATATTTTTGATTTTTTTGTATGTGTAATGTTATTTGGTTTACAACAGTGAAAAAAGTTGGCATTACTATTATTGTGGCATCATATGGATAAGTTTACAGCATTTATGCCATAAAGAAAGAATGTGCATTTTGTTAATCTTTCACTGCTAATCTGGGCACAGTGCTCACCAGTCTCACAGCACATTATTAAAAAAATTACACAAAGTACTTTATAACCTGTTTTTCTTCCCTGTAAACTGTCTTTTCTGGACTAGTCTACGTTACCACTTTCCCAAAATGCCCATAGAAACATCTGAGAGTTAGAAACAGTCCTTTAACCATCATGGTACTGTTGTCAATGTAGAAAGCAGAGTGAGTGTCACACTGCAAACCTGCCTGTTCTCCTGTGTAACTGAGTGTGAAGTAGATTGTCAAAATCCAAAGAAATCTTGTATCTCATTTTCTTTCTTAGCTATATCTACAGTACTTCAGAGAAAATGCACTTGTGCAATACTTTGTAGATGGGGTAATTTGCTAAGTTGCACTCCGTCTTCAATTGTAATGTATTTCTCTGTTGAAAATATTAAACTAATGACAGTTTGCCAGGGTTCATAGTAGAAGCAGCAAGTGTGGAGGTATTGAATAGAACATGTATAGCCGCCTTCTCACTACCAGAAATAAAAAAATGTTAAGAAGTAATGGGTTAAAACCTAACCCAAATTAATGAGTGGCAATTAGTTTTGTTTTCAAGTAATTTTGAATCAGTACCATTCTAAAAGCTGTTGAAATAAATGTAAACTAGTAAGTAAATGTGAAAGTTTTTATAATTTTGAAGAAATTTTGTATATATCTGAAAATATTCTATTATTCTCAGAGATACAAATTGTAAAATTTTTCTAAACTCAGGATGTGTTATTTTGAAATATTGTAGTGTGGTATTGTTGCGGAGTTTGTTTAAAAATTGTGCCATAGAATTTTGTTGTGTATATGGTGACTTGAAATGTGACAACACTAGGGACCCTGAGGGTATGGAAATTTTGTGTCATGCTTAGTTTGATTGCTATAATAAAGGTTCAAAGTCCAATAAATGAAGCTAGTTTTCATGTTTTGGAAAAGTTAGGTAAACTTAGATACTTCTCTGAATTGTATTTTTGCAGTTCATGTCTGCTTCATTTGGAATTGCATAATTATATACGAACAGACTTTTTTATTTTAAAAGAATCAGTGTGATTACTGGTTTCTCTAAGTGGAGTTGATTAGAACTCACAACGGGTCCCTAAGGTTGAATTCTGTCCAGAGCAGTTGCTTTGCTTACAAACAATCAGCTGAGAATGGCATCTTTCCTGCAGTGTTTGCGGGCTCTGGGACACATACCCAATGGATACTATGGGACATTTCCCTCTGCCACAGAGATTTCTATCTTTTTGCAGATGATGAAGGCAATGATATCTTTTGTAAGCCAATGTTTTTGAGAAGTGGCATGAAGCTGAGTTATGCTGTGGTTTCTGAGGACTGTTTCAAGCACTTTTAGAGACTGTTACTTCTAAAAGTTAGGTGGCAGTATATAAAGAGAATATATATATATGTAAGTGGTATGCTTATTGTGTATTACTTCAGCGATACTACTTTGTTAACCTAAGGAGAAGATACACAGAATTATTGAATACCCTTTTTCTACAGATGAACTTTGTAACTGAGAATATAAATTATTTTATGAAATATGCAAATCATTATGCAAATTAGTGTCTCTGTTAGAATAGGAACATATGGCTTGAATTTTTATATAAATTCTTCATTTGTATTTTGAGATATGTTAGCTTAATTAAATTATTAAATCATTAATATATGTTCAATTTGTAAATAGATGCATAACACAGCTCCTACACCGTTACTGGATGATCTACAGTAGCTGACAGTCTGGGCAGCAATATTGATGATAAACTTTAAAATCTAGAATATCCGTTCTAAAAGAATTAAAATATTGCCCTGTTCATTGGATAAATTTGCTTATGGAGAACCATGTTAAAAATATTTAATTCTGATGGATTTTTAATTTTTTTTTAATCTTTGTGCTACTGGGAGGTCTTTTTGCAGTTGGGGAACGATTAATAGATTTAAAAAAGGAGAAAAGCAACGCTGCAGGATATAATTACTATGAGCTTTTGAGAAACAGGGAAGTTAATCTTAGGGTAAAAGTATGTATAATTTTGATTGTTTATTGTACAGAGAAATCACGCACAGTTTCTTTCCCATTGAACGTTTTTTGAACGCCATGCTTTCAGGGGTCGGTTTCTTAATCTTAAGTGTGATCTCTTAATGTATTAAGATGGGATGTATTTATATGTTGAAAGATGCCAGTAGGCATCTTCTAGAAGTTCCAAATGAACTACCTTTTTTTGTGTCTTCTGGCAGCTAAATACCTTAACAGTTTATGTTTACATATGTCTCCTTCCTATTTGAGTCCAGCTTTCAGATTCCAGTTTTCTTATCCCTATTTCTGTCTGCAGTAGCATTCTTAAGACCTACAGACTTTATCAACAGTTACTAACTTTTTCCACTGCAAATACTGGTAGAAACATTTAATAGATTTTTGTCCAAATGGGACAAACCAGAAACTTTCGTGATAGTTTCTTATTAACAAGTGCACCAATATATGTACTTCTATCAATTTAAATTTGTAGTGCTGTCAAGAAAGGATGCTGCTTTCATTCAAGAATCACAAATATGTGATTTCCATGTAAATACGTATTTGTTTGGGGTTTTTTTCCCTAGAAATTTTATCAGGCCCAGTTTGTCAGAAATATAATTTTGTTTTATACTCTGAGACTAGGCCAATTAGATAGTTTTCAGAATTTTAATTTAAAAATAATGCTGAAAATACTCCAAGAGCATCATGGGAAGCTCTTTTAAATAGAAATTAAATTTATTTATACCAGTTTAGTTAGCCACAATTCACTAAAACTGAATTTAATTGCTTAGTTTCTGTGGATAGAAAAAAAAATTAAACATGGTCATATGAAACGAATTAATTATGAAGCTATTTTTAAAGTCCAAACCTCAAATGCTAGAGCATTCCTGTTTCTCCTGCATTGTTCTTGAAAATACGAAGATTGAGATTTTGGCTCTGAATTAGAAAATATGGCTCCTTATTCTTCATGAAAATAGATTTTCCCAAGTGTCTGTCTCTGATTTTCTTTTTCTTTGACATTTAGTGATTAGGTAGCTTGGTAACACGAAATGAGAAGCTACTGTAGATGACATAAAACAGCATCAAAATTTTCTGAAATTTAATCCTGTTAATCTTCATATTTTTCTGTCAATATTGCTGATAAAATTTCTTGTCAAGAATCAGAACCAAATCAGCACAACTTTAGTCACTTTTGAGTGCATTTTGGAACTAAGCTGAAAAATTCCTTTAATTCCTTACCCCTAGGTTTGGAACCTCTCCTAAGCACTAAAAATTCTTAACAACAATAAAGGTTACATTGCAATAAGCAAAAAATAAGTTCACTCCTATTAAAAAAAAAAGTTTGAAAATCAGAAGATGCAAAACTGCTATCAGCTTCCTTGATGTTTTAACAAGAAACTTTTCAAAGAATATCTCAGCTCTTGGACTGGCCCAAAGCAGCTCAAGAGCTTGCTTTCATGAAGCTGATATTTATAAAGTTGGTCCTACTGTAGCAGCATACAGCAGATAAGCAATTGAGTATGTCTGATAATAGAGCTATATGCTGTGGCAATTCAGTTCCTGCTTCTGTGATAAAGTGCAAATAGATTAGACTTGTGAGGTCCTAGATTAGTGCATAAGCAAAGCTCGCCAATGCAAATAGACTGAAACAAGAACACATTGTTGGGATTTCTGCAAGTTAGCTGTTAATCAAGTAAAACATGGTATATTAGGGCCTTTTAACACATTTTTGACATTTAGCCTTACGCAGCTGACACACAGATAAATTAGTCGTCTTTTGTGATTGACTGAGAAAAAAATTATACTGTTCATTAATAAGGTGAAATAGTGTTATGTTTAATTTGTTATAGAAGAAAAAATGTAATTTAGGTAAATAAATCTTCAAGAAGGAATTGGTATAAAACCAAGTCTGAATATAACTACGTAGATTCTAAATGGTTATTAAACTGTTCCACTTAGTGGAGGCTGGCATTTTAATGTTATTATTCAAGGGTTTAAGAATACATGTTATTTGTTACTAGGAATAAACTTGAAGTTATTTAGTATCCCATATCATCTTTTTCTTGCATAATCTATATAGCAAAAGCCAGCTAATAGTAATTTTAAAAAAAACCCAAACAATCCTAGAACATTTGCTTGTTTGTCATTTGTGTAATACTCAACAATGTTGCTGTTGAAGGACCATGGTTCTGTATGAACACATTTCTACCTGAAATCCTGTCAGGTACGAGTCAAAGGAGACTTTGCCATTGGGCTGAATGGAGCCAGGATTCGGCTACGTCTGCAGTGCCAGGGCTCCCAGTGCACAGACAGTTGATTGTGTCCTGAGAAAAGATTGAACTACACATTGCTACCTTTAGTTTTGGCTGTATCTTTTTTACTGTATGCTAAGTGGAAATAGTTTGTTCTCAATGTCTATTTCCTTCTGAATGAAGTAGGGATATGAGTCTTGTATGACTAGTCAACACTGTATTCTGTGAAGATTCTTACAGTAATGCTAATTTGGTGATGTGTATGTTCAGTTAGCTATATTGTGAAAAGGAGTCCCCGATGTTAGGGGAATGCTGGATGCAAAATGAAAGTACTATCAACGTCCAGCCCTTTGAAAAGGTTTTCCTTAGGAAGAAGGAGTAGCAAATAAGTATGCCCATATTCCTCTTACAGGATTATCACCTAAATGATTATTGTATTACAGTATAGTACTGATTATCTTTCAATGTCTAAAAGATTAAAAATAATTTTATTTACAAACTTAAATATAACTACTCATTTGGTAAAGATCTTTGTCTAACCATTTAAAACCTAAAAAAATTAACATTTATTCTACTAATACATATAATTACATTAGAAGATAATCCATGTGATGCATTTTTTAAAAATTTGACTGTTGCTGAAACAAATTATTACAGCTGGAAGCCAATATTATATAACTGGAAGAAAAAAATGAATTTATCAGAGGAATATAAATATTTGAAATGGCTCTATAAGGAGTATATTTGAAATATATAATGTTTAGCACTTAGGCGTAGTTTCGCATCCAATAATAAACTAGTTATGTAGCAAGCATCTGTGAAGATTAATACCCCACATCTGCTTTTGATACTTGTTCTTAATATCTCATAATATTACAATCATTACAAACATCTCAAATGTTACATAATAAAATATGTTGCATCATAGCTTACATTTGCTGTATAAACAGAATGCAAAAGTAAGTTAATTTAAAAATATTTCAAGTAAAAATAAGGAAATACAAACATTAAGGTTTAAATTAAAATTCTAATATGCTTAATTGCACTTACACTGGAGTCTACAATTAGCTCTCTAATAAGCAACCACAAACAATAGACATTCCAAATAAGATCAATACGAGAAGCTGAAGTTTTCTATATCTTGAATTGGCATTTAAATATTTTCAGGGAGATGCGTAACTCATTAAAATCAAATTTATTTAAGTGTAGCCAAGTTTTAAATCAGTAATTTAAAATAATTAAATATTTATTCAGTTCGTACAGAAAGTTTTTATCAGTTTTAAACTTTATACATGCAGATAATATGCCATTTAAATGATAGAAGACTGAATAATAGGAGATCTTCAACAGATGTGTAGTGGAAGACAGATATATATAAAAGTTGAAAATACAAGGGCACACTTATGGAAAACTTTCCACTAGGTGTGTGTTCCATTTTCTAGTAACTAGTTCCTTTGCTATGCAGTATGCAAGGAGGAACAGACAAGAAGCAGAGGCACTGGACAGTTGTCAGAAGGGTTGCTGATGTCATCAGTGTTACAAAGGGATGAACTGAGAAAATAGAGGGAGAGAGATTGAGTAGAAAAGCAGTGTTTGAGGTACAGAATCTAGAAAATGTCTCTATCTCTGCCTATTCTACAGGACCAATGAGGCTGGAAAAGACCTGGAGATTATCTAGTCCAACCCAGCTGCTCAAAACAGAGTCAACTAGAGCAATTTGCTCAGGATCCAGTCCGGCTGGGTTTTGAAAATCTCCAAGGTTGAAGATTGCTGGGATGAAAATCACAGCCTTGGGTTTAGGCTGGTTTTTTTAATGCAGATAAGTGTTGAGAGTTGGCTGTTTGGAAAATATGTCTTGAACTTTAAAAAACACAGAAGCAATCTTCAGAAAATCATATAGGTCTTGGAAGAGCATCATACCTCATAGTATGTCATAGTGTATGGAGAAAATGAATGAATAACCAGGATTGTCTGAAAAATACATGCTTTTTATAAGTACTGTTACAACTTAAGCTAACTTTGATAATTAATTAATTTATTTCTTTCATTATAATGACTGAATTTGTTACAAATCAGAATGGGATGTACAGCTACTTGAAATTTTGCTTGTGTTGTAATTTTTGTTGACATATAATAACCACAGAGACATAATAACTACATATTGATAGGAGCAATGGTAAACTTTATGTATATGTGTCTGTGTATCTCTCTCTCTTTCTCCAGTGTGTGTGTTTGTATATATATGGCAGTATAAGGAATTATGGAAGGAGGGATTCAGCATGAGATTTTTCTCTTCCTAATAATATTAGGCTTCCATCAGTCTTTTTCAGTTCTATGAAATAGTGTTTTAAGTATTGATCTCAGTCTTAAACTCCTTCCTGGAGATTTCAAGCAAGTACAAAAGGACTCGAATAGGACCCGTGAGCATGTTGATGATTCTACCTGAGCCATGCGACTGGTAGTGTAGAATTTAGTCAGGATGTAGTTTTGTCCAATGTAGGTTTAACTTTCCCAAACGATGTTGCTTCTACTGCCCTCCGACTACCATGTCCAAAATGATACTAGTAGTTCCCTGATACTTTGCTTAAATTGCCCTATTCCCAATTCAAATGCATTTCTAGTTGCTATTTTATTTTGTCCTAAATTTTGCTGGTTAGTATTTTCATCCTTCAAGTATTGGTAGAATGTGAGTTTGAAGAATGTAATCAAAGCTTAACAAAACCATGCTACTGCATCTGCTTTTTACATTTCACCCTTTGAATTCATCACCCAATCCTTGACTGGTGATTTTTAGCAATCCTTATAATAGTAACTGGAAGTCACCAAAATATTTAAAAATGTGGTTGAGTTATTCTTTGGATATCTGAATTTGTATTAGGGTATGTTTTCTGTGTCTTGGACAACTTTTTTTTTTCCTCAAAATATAATGTAATATATGTAATGTAATAAATAACATGTAAACTGTTAGTTACTGATAGTTAGCAACTGATTGATTTCTAATTAGATTTGGAATCTTGAAAGATTCTTGCAATCACTATAGATGCTACTAGCATTCAGAAAACCACCAAATTCAAGCTGATTAAACCAGTTATCACCGCTCTGTTTTGAACTTCTATTCAAGACTTCAATCACTTATCAATACAGGAAATATAGTACAGATGAAAAACTTTCCATATCTATCACAAGACTAAACAAATTCATGTCAGTATAGACATTTAGGGAAGTTTCAGTACTATGTTATCAAGTATTTAAAATCTTGATCTGATGCTTTTGAAATCAGGGGAAATCTTGCATTGACTTTAATACCATTAATTCAATCATCTTCTGCTTCTGATGGTTGATTTTCCTAAGTGCTACTTAGTGTAAAGAAATTTTATTCTGTCTTTTCTTGAAATGATTCTCAACTTTTCCATTTTGCAATTCTTTCCCTTGCTAGGAAAGAATAATAGAGCGCTTGAAGGAACAAAGGGACCGAGATGACAGAGAAAGACTTGAAGAAATCGAATCATATAAAAAAGAAAACAAAGACCTGAAGGAGAAGGTTAATGCTTTACAAGCTGAACTGACAGAAAAAGAGGTCAGTCTTTTCAGTAAAATCTATGTTGTTCTATCTATGTCATTATGATGAAAGAAAGTGCATAAGGATTACACTTGAATCATTTTAAGTACTGAAATTCTGCCACTTGAGTGGTCAGCTTCTGAACTCCTGTTTACTTAAGCAGTCTTCATAGTCTTCACTTCTGTACATAAAATATTGCTTCAGTTTTTGCATAATTGTGCATTGTTTTTTCTATATTTTCTTTTACGTAAGCCTCCAGTAGGCTCGAATATTCCATTGTTGCTCCTCTTTTCATTTGTCAGTTAAAGCAATAGACTTCAAAGTAATTGTACCTCCAGAATATAATGTCAACTTGTCTGTATTATGACTGTTTCTGTGTTTCACTGCATATCAGTTCCTGTGATTCCAATTGGTTGTATTCTCAAAAAGGTGTCTTTTGTTATCAATGCTTATCTTTGTGTCAACTCTTTTTGGGGAAGGGGAGGGGGAGCAGGATCCAAGTGATTACTAAGTTGGCAATAAATTAGTGTCCTGGTGACTAGGAATTAACTTTTTACTCTTGGTCATTTTTCAGTCTAGTTTAATCGATCTCAAAGAACATGCATCTTCATTGGCATCAGCAGGGCTGAAAAGAGACTCCAAACTTAAGTCTTTAGAAATAGCCATAGAACAAAAGAAAGAAGAGTGTAGTAAGTTGGAAGCACAGTTGAAAAAGGTAAGTTCCATCATAAAACAAACAACAATCAGAAAAACAAAAATCAACATCCCACCCCCTCATTTTGAAAAAATTAGCTTATTTACTCTTCTGGAGTAAATCTAAAATCTACCCATCTTACGCTGTTTGCTGATGCTTGCATCAAATTCTGCTAACTTAAGAGGCTTGTACCAAAGCCACTAATGAGCCTCAGAAATTATCTTGAATATCTATATGAGAGAATTCTGAGAAGGTGCTACAAATAGGTGTACTGGGAGCAGGACATTGGAGAAAAATTAGAAGGGCAGAAAGAAATTATCAAACCAGCAATTTGTATGTATATGAATTTATACCATTATTAGAAGTAGACTGATATGTTTGTAGTGTGGGGAAAAAAAGTACAGGGTCATTCAAAAAATCTGCACTTTGTAATCAAAAAAAATTTCCTTCCAAAATGGAAACTCTAGCTAGGTTTTATTTTGGCATTTTTTTGGCTTTGCTGGTGAACACATGTTTGTGATAATTAAGCAAAATAACGCATAGTTTATCTCAGCTAGCAATTCAGTATTTCTATTCAGCAAGTAGTGGAAGCAAGCATTTAAATGAAAACATACAAATCCTATGTTTTATAACATGATTTTATTTAGAATGATGCATTAAAATAGTTTTTGCTTAAATGATTTGCAAGTTTGTTGATGCCTTTTCTACCATACATTGTTTCTTTGACCTTTCTCTGTGTCATTTGGTAATGTCTGCTCTCATTGTTTGAACACCAATCTCATGACGTATTTGATGGATTTAGGCATTATGTTTGCCTTTTGCAATTCATGACTAAGTGTATATTAAACATTAGGTTTTTTTATACTGTTATTTGATGGCTCATTTTCTAGGAAATAACATTTATTTGTTCTGTGAAAGTTACCATTTGGATAATATTCTGACACTCTTTTACCCAGGTTGAGTAGTGTTCTGCTCTGTGTTTAAGCAGTGTTTCAATAGCCTTACCTGTGAAGAAGGTATTGCAAAGTATAAAGGATACCAGAGTGTAAACCTAATACTTATATTATTTTTTAATTCAGAAGAATATGTGCAATTAGGTGCCTGTGTTAACATGTTAAGTTGTGGAGAAGGAAGGAAGGGAATCTTTTCAATAGACATATACAAAAGCTTTTAAAGGAAACACAACTATTTTAAATGGTTGATAGCTTATAAATGCTATTGATGTCAGAATTAAAGTATCCAAAGAAGCTGTTTCTCTGGAAGTCCTTCATTTTGTTTTCTTTTGTTAGAAAATGTGTTTGTTTACTTAGCACTTCACTACAAAATATACTTAATTACAATCTGAAATATCTAATTTTCTTCATTAAAAAAATTAGTTTAAAAACTCTAATAGCACAGATCACTTAGAAAAAATTCTCCTGAAGGACTTGAAATCCTAAGTCAATCTTTTATGACTGTACCTATAAACACATCATACAGTCATGGAAAAATAAGCACTTATAAAAGTCAGAGAGTGTCTGGGACGTCTTTCGTATAAAAAGGGAGTATGTTCCCTGTGTATAAATACAAAGGATTATTAAATGAAAGTTGAAAACATAATAGTTTTATTATATCATAAATACAGCACAAAACCCCAGTGGAAATTCACCCAACATTTGTAGGAGACCAGGTATTTCCACAATAAAATGTAGTTACAGCCTCCTTTGTGGGCACGTTTAGTTGAACAGAAACAGTGACTGTTAATGATAGTAGACTCCAAACAGTAATTTTCAATTCACATTTTCTCTAATAAAGTACTTTATGTTCAAACCTGTAAATATCCTGTATTAAAAAGTAATTGGTCTCCAGAAATCTACCTTCACCGTGTTTTCACTCCTTAGGAAACTAACTGAAACAGAAATCTGGGTTATTCTTGCATATGTCGGCGTTAGAGTAGGAGGGAACATCAACATAGTTTCGAGTAAATTAACCTGCCTGTCCCATAAGTGTGCTTATGTATGAACATTAACCACTACAGAAGCTAGCAGGAATGGGCACAGTTTATGTCTCTGTTTCAAAAGTGACTCCAAAGGGCAGCCTGTTATTTTGAGAAACTTGAATGCAGATTACACGTGACTCCTCTCTCTAAAAATGTCATAGAGAAGGCATTTTTCATTATGGAATTTTAAAGTCATCATAGTTTAATGTTGATTTATGCGTTTCAACAGATTATACTAATAGATATGAAGATACTATTCTGTGCATATTTGCTAGGAGTTAGTTTTCCATGAGCACTAATGGTAACAAGTACTATGCCTGAAAGAAAATGTGTACAAGGGGCAAGTCCAAACAACATATCTAAATTTTTTTTTAAATTATTTTAAAAGTTTCTCTTCCCTTATTTCCTCTCCTTCCTGTTTTTGGAGATAATAAGATTAATTTATTGATAATAAAGATGTTTTTGATTGGGTCTGATTAGATCCAAATATTTTTCAGTATTACATAACTGGATGGTTTGCATTTCAGCGGGAGCAAACATGCTGATTCTACAACCACTGTTTTCATTTTATAGAGTAGACACATTTCCAAAAGTAATAAATAGGATATTTGTAAAGAGTAATTAATCATGTGACTGTTCTATTTTTTGGTACATAAAATAATATTTAAAATCATAGACATGCTTATTAAACTTTTTCTGACAAAGATTATGGATTGATTTTCATAAAATTAAAAAATAAGCATAAACCCCAGAAGAATGCTCGATGATTTCTTTTGCCGAAATTCCACAGACTTTTTATTGACTTACTTTGTATTGCTACTAGTGAAAGAACAGCAGGAATTGCCTAATAGCAAGCTAAGTGTTTTATATATATATGTGTGTATATATATATAATCTTATTATCCACTCTAGAATTTCCTCCTTTTGTTGTTTTTCATTATCTTAAATTTACTTGCTTACTGACATATTTGCAGTTGCTAAAGTACTTTTTGCCAAGCTGTACTGTTTGAAAGTCATTCTGCATAGAAAATTCAGTCTTGTGTTAAACAAAAAGAAAGTAATAAATTTAATGATACAATTTAATTAATCTTTTATTATTACCATCTTTGAAGCTTTCATGATAAATTGCAGCCTCAGCCAAAAGCACTTCTTGTGATTCATTGCTTGAGACCAGCACTTAATGTATCATCAAAAGTGGACACCTTTCTTTATTTCATGGGTTATTTAACTTGAGAAAGGGAAAGTAACACAAACCTTAAATTTCTTACTCCAGCTATTCTTTTTTAGGAGCCAAAGTCAACATTTATGTTTCCTCAGTGCCTCTCACTTTCACCAAGGAATGTTTAGAATCTTAAATTTCTACTTTTTTATGACAAGTTCTTCTGTGCAAATGCACTGGTTTTGTTGAGCTAATGCTGTTTTCCTGGATCTTTCCTTCTTTTCCTGTCTGTGCTTCACTCCCCTCCAACTTTGCAATGTAGCAAGCTGAACAGTTGTTCAATCAGATGTACAATCCAGTAAGTTCTTTTTTAAAATGCCCGCTGTAACATATGAAAGCATGAGGATCCATTACCTTACTGTGTTGTGCTCTTCCTCTGCGGAGCTTTGCAGAATACTTCTGATGCTCACTATGCTATATTCATTGTATCCAAATGAACTTTGTGGACTTGAAGGCCATTTTAAGAAACTGAAATGTATTAAATAGGTACATACATTATTTCTGGAAAAACAAGCATCCTAGCCTTTAGGTCCTCAACTTCTCCATTAGAAATAGCATGCAGATGATTTAAATTTTTTTTTTTTTTTTTTGCTTTGCTTTGCTTTGTAATTCCTTCTTCTGCAGTACTTTATTTGATCCTTCAAACTTAAATAACTTCCAATTTATTCGGTTTATCTTTAAGGACTGAGTTGATTATGTGAATAATAGCATCTAGGCAGTGACTGGTACTATTGTCAAAAGCCCATACAATTAAAATAGTTCAGAGCAGTTTTACTCATAAAAGACTGCATCCATATGTTAAGAATATGGAGACATTGTATTTAGTCTAAGAAAATGCTGAAATGTAAAACGATAAATGCTAAGAGCAGTGTTTGGAAAACAATACTTTGTCTTGTTTAGCATTATTATTCTTGCCAATATCTGCCTTAACTGTGCAATATTGTGCAACCTGTTTGACTTGACTGTGTTCCTTTTTTGATTTGAGGAAGAGCAGTAACAAACACTTTCTCTGGAGAGAACAGCTTTCAATTTTTAGCTGGGACTGCCACATTTAACGTGCAGTGAGCATCACAGGACAGAAAAAATGATGTAAATGTAATAGCAATTTACAAGCTATAGTTTACATAGTAATCATAATTGGTATTACCATGTCACTGGGATACTATATATAAAAGAACTGGTTTTGCAGATGAAGTAATGTGGGTACTATGGTTTAAGGAAGGTAGTGCTTTCACTGAAGTCAATGGGAATTTTGCCATTAGTGTCAGTGGACCAGGATTCCAGCTTTGGGGTCTATTATTACTAATTTTTGTAGCTTCTAACCGTGTAATAGGTATGTCATGACTTATTACAGGAAAAGAGTCCCACAGAATGTCCTGTATTTACCTTTAAAGTTATTGGTTAGCTGTTTTTAGAATCCAGTCATAAATTGATTGTAAGTGGCTGGAGACCTGTTATCACCTCTGCCATCCAGCACACTGCTGGTCAAAGAGCTTTTCCCTTTGAATGATAAAACTGTTTTTTCTGTATCATCTTGGATCACCATTGTGGCAGCTATGTTTCTATTCATATCATTTGCACTTCTACTGTGCATGTCTTTTCAGACTGGAGTCTTTTTCATGTTATTTTTTTCCCTAGATTATCATAAAGGCTTTCCAGTCATTATATCAATATTAGTTATTCTGCTGTATGGAATTTGTTTGTTACTTGCTAGTCTATTTGTGTGTGGTATTCCAAAGTCAGTCCTTTTTTATTTTATTTTTTCTGCCTTCATGTGCTTGATTTTCAAAAGGACAGCCTGTTGGCAGTTCCAAAATAACGGATGCAAGATCCTTTTCCTTTGGCACAGGGCAGCAATTGTAGTATGTCCACGAGAGGTTTTCTTAAATGAACTTTTCTTGCTCATCTTTTTTCTTCTCCTACTTACATATTTCAGTCTACTTTTAAAAATGTAAGTAGTAACGATCCTCTTCTCCCCCAAAACCACCTAAGGTCTTGAAATGAAAATGTGATTTGATTGAAGTCAATGGCAACATATTCTTTGAATTCCACAAGGCCAAGATTTCACTTTTGTTCTTTGAAGTGACATAATAGCAGTTACTTGTAAGATTTTTATTTGTACTGCAAATCCTTATGATACTTTATTTAATATAATGTTTCCTTGACTTTTTTTTTAGCATAATAGTGTTATAAAAAAACAGATGGCAATCTAAACTTAAAATATTCAAGTTGTAATACTCTTTTGTTTATCTGTGTCAGAGAAATAAACAGTTAATCTCTGAGTAGACCTCTTTTAGCCCGTGCAGTAATATAGCAATTTTTTTTGGTGGAATTTGTTTTTTCAACTATGTCACACAGGTATCAACTCTAAGACTTTCACTTATGGCTAAATCTAATGTTTTTAAAATACAGAAACAGATAGAAGTATTTTATTCTTATACACATTTGAGTACCAAAGTGGAGATGATGCAGAAGGAGTGCAAATCCTACATACACTATAGTAAATGATTTCATGATGTATTCACCTGTGTGAGTAAAACGTGGACAGAATTGGGTGCACATTTTTTCATGTTTGTTTTGGAAGGTGAATTTTTTTAAATACCCAATGAATTCTTGTGAAAAATTGATTATAAGAACTTACATGATTATTTTTGTCCTGTAATGAAATAGAATGTTATACTTATTTTGGAGTTCTGGTGAACCTTTTTCTGAATAGTAAAGACCTCATTTTCCAAGGGCTCCATCAGAGCAATGTCAGATTAAAATTTAAAGTATTTGCCAAATCCACTCTAAATTGCTTTGAGCAGTCCCTGAAGTTAAATAAAAAAACCCCTGATATTTAAGGAGACTACAAAAAATTTAAGGTGACAGCATTTTTTTTTTAGTTTATTATTGAAAGTAATAAAATTTGAAGGATCTTAGAAAGTAATTTCTTGCATGTAAATTCTGCTCTTTTTTTTTTTTTTAATTAAGTAGTCGGTTGATTTCTGTGTATGTTTGTGTCTAAAGCTTTAAAAATAAAGTACTGTATCTATCCATCCATTTCTGTCATGCAGAATAATGCATGCGTGATTGTACCATAAAATTTTAATTGACTAAATAATTCATGTTGCATGTCTGTGCCATACTTTTACAGTGTTTCTGTAGGAAATCTGTGGTTTGCTTAAGTAAATTTTACTTTACTTCTAAAGTATTTGTAGTACTTATTAAGCAAATGTCAAACCAGATACATAATTACTGTAAGAATTAGTGAAATTCTAATAGTAGTGATACACTATTTTTATTGAATTGTAAAAATAACATACAACAAAGGCACAAGACTGACAGACAAAACATCATAAACCAAGTGTGCTAGTTTGAAACTAGCATAATCTGCACACACAAGTGTTATCATTTACAGATACAGTTTAAGAGATCAATTACTTTGCTGCTGAAAGGTATGTATGAACCAGTCACTCTCACCCATAAAAGCCCCATAAAACCAGCAAATGTATTCTCCCCAATAAAACAGAGAATTTAAGGAGAAAAAGGGGAACAGAAATGGAGAAAAAAAAGGGTAGAAGAGGGGACAGCAGTAATAGGTAGAGACTTCATGGTTCATGTGATAACTTCTAAATTGTTAGAAGTGATCTACAGCCTGCAAAAAAGGCAAAGAAATCTGCCCTGTCCGAGTGTGAGCAGAGTCAATATCAGCTGAGCTGCCTTTCATCTCCTTTGGGCCTACTGTTTGACCTCGAAAGTCAAGTTCCATCTGTCAGCAAATCACCCCTGATCTGTATATAACAATTAAAAAAAGTGCCTAGTTCAAATCCAAACACATAAGCCATGAAATATAATACGGCTCTTACGAGTGATTCTATGCCTTTGTTCTGGGAATGTCAGATGGATTGTGTTTTGCTGTCTTGTAGTATCAGTGGCTTTGTTTTCAACATGAGTATTCCCTTCAAGAGACTCATTGCAAGTTAGAGTACCACATGTGGAAAGCTCTTTTAAAAAAAATGTTTTTCAACATCTCCCTTTTTACTTAATGTTCCTTTCCTCCTTCGTTAAGGCAATGCCCTTGTAGAAGTCTGATTCCTGCCAATAGTCCAAAAATATTCTATAGAAAATGCTTGTTAAAGTACAGGCAACAGGCAAAAGTACAGGCAGTTGGTGGTTTGCAATACTGGGATCTTTTTGGTTTTCTAAAATAGATTAGAATAGTCTTATGCTTGTCTTTGAACTGAGTGTTTATATTGATTTATATGTGACATTATGGATAACTGTGCTGCATCTCAAAGCCCTGTATAGGTTGCATACTTGATTATATTGGATTTAGTCATTTCATAGGTTCTGCTTTGTATTGAGAGCCATAGGGAAATACAATGACCAAGTTTATGCTGTGGAATTTTCCAAAAACACATTCCACAGGAATAACATGAGTACCACAGAAAGCACAAAAAGTGAAAATACTTTTGAACTTAACATTAATTTCCTTAGCATACTATTGAGCAAGGATTATGGGGCTAAATGGAAGAATATAATTCATATCTATTATTTAAGTTGATGTTTTAGTTATAAGCTGTGCAGTAGACAATTTGTTCAGTACATTTCTGAGCTGCTGCATGACAGGAACGGTCTATGACAGTTGAACATTTGGCCCCTTTGCATTGGTGACTCTATCATGTTCTTGCCTGATTATGTATTTTCATCATGGAAAGTCTGGTGTGATAATGAAAAGAAAAAAAAAAAAAAACAAACCAAACAAACAAAAGAAAAAACAAAACCAAAAAATGCTTCTCTATTTCTTCTGCATTGCTTCTTGTCCTGGGTCAAAACTGGGCAGGGGGCAGTTTGGGCTGAAGCTGACAGTTCCTGTATGCTAAAGAAAAGAATGTTTAGAAGCAGGAAGATGGGTGTTTTGCCTGTTTATGAAATGATAGAAGGTAAATAAAAAAAGTGACAGGGAGGAATATAAAGCAGTTCCTCTAGAGGGGAACTATGAAGTTCTGGATTTACCCTCAGGAGAAGAGGAGAAATCTGAAGAGCAATAGGGTACAAACACTCTTTGCATAGCTTTCTTAGTATCTTAAAAGTGGGAGTTGGGTTGTATGTCCTTTTTTTCCTAGACTGAATTTACCTTTACATATGAAATTATTTTTTTTTCTTTGCTAAAGAACACTTAGTGTTCATTTTGGAGAGACAGAACATTGTCTAATTTCCAAATAGAGCTGATGGAAAATTGAAGTGCTTTGCAGCTGGAAATTGGTATACAGTCTCTCACATAATTAGTCCTGAGCCTGAGTATTACATTTACTTCAAAAAGTTAAAAAGCTAGCCAAAAGTAAATTTCTTGACACAATTAACACTTGGTGTAAAATAAATCAGTTTATTATTAAAGCAGGAAGATTTATGAGGATGACAAGGAATCTGTTGCTAGCATCTCACCCAAGCCATAAAATCAAGATACTCATTGGATGTTACCTTGAAACAAGCTCTGTGTTGTAGTAAATATGTGTGTAGTAAAGTTGTGTATCTGCATAGATACATTCAGGGTTGGAGCATGTATTATCCAAAATAAAGAATTTGAAGAACAAGGTCAGTAAGTTTAGCAGGCCTCTCATGTCATTCCCTTGGCTTATTTTGGTAACCAATTATATCTCCTGAATAAAATTCTCACAATGGGATATATAACAGTTAAAATCTACTATCTTTTTTTCTGATTATCCTCATGCTTAAATGATATGTTACATGCAAATCCCCTAAGTTTCTTCTGTAGTAACTTCAATTTTTTTAATTGTTGTATTTATACTAAACCCGGACTTGTTCTTTATTTATACAGAAAATTTTTAACCATTGCAAAGAATACAAACCTTCTAATATCTGTAGTTTATAGTAATTCTTTCCAAAACGCGCATGTTTCATTTTGATCTGCATTTCTTTCTTTGCTTGCTTGCATTGTCTATTCCCTGAAATTAACAAGATAAATAAGTCCACGTCTTCTCTGCATAATAAGATAGTTGGAGGACCTTCAGTTCTAAATATCCTGAATTTCTATAAATTCCTGTATGTCAAGAGAAGTTATCTGAATTTTCTATGTTTAATGTGCACTGCCTTAAACTACTTGTTTTTTCCCTGCCTGCTCTTTCAAGATGCCAATTAGGAATAATGGGAAGCAAGGGGTAGGCTAAGCATTGCAGTGCATTGTTGTTTCCATCTGTCTGTGATTATTCCAGCCAACAGTTTAAAGCACTTGATGCCAGATCATGCTCCCATTGAAGTTAATTGGTTTTTTGCCATTAGGTTTGATGGGAGCAAGATTGGGCTTCTGTACTGTTGTTGTTGTATTCATTGCGTTCTTTCTTGTCTGTGAAACTGCCACCCATCCATGCATGTGTTTGCCAGGTTTGTGCCATTTTCACCAATGGGCTTGTTCTTCTGATGTTTCAGGTTAAGTATTAATGATAAGAGGAAAAGGATTATTGGGTAAAATGTCTGCTGAGGGCAGCTTTTTAGTTTATTGTTTGTCTTTTAAAAACACTACAAATTTCTTCCTTTTTTAATTCTTTCTATCAAAATGCTTTTGAAACATCTGGTGATACAGATTACAGTATGTATATATGTATCTATATATACATGGACAAAGTATGTGTGTATATATATGGGGAAAGAGACAATATGCTTTATTAAGAAATTGGCTGTATTTTGGAAACACTTTAAAAGCTTAATGTGATTGAAATGAGTTAAATATGGTTTTTAAATTTAAAAAACACCCATAAAATATCGTCACTTTAATATGTAAAAGACTCCACCTTCAGGATGATAGCATTTGATTATAATTTTAGACTATGAAGATATTTTCATTCCTTTTTATAATCTGTAGAAAATATTGTCATCAGACAGAAATACCCATAATCCTTTGTAATGAAAATTTGAACTCCAAGACCAAAGAATTAAAGCTCTTAAAGCTGTATCAATTATTGTCATCCTCATTTTTTAAAAAATATTGGTTCTGAAGGCTCATGAGGCTGAAGAGGAGGCACGGATGAATCCAGAATTTGCAGACAGAATGAAACAGCTTGACAAAGAGGCATCGTACTACAGAGAAGAATGTGGCAAAGCTCAGGCTGAGGTTGACAGACTTCTAGAAATACTCAAGGAAGTAGAGAATGAGAAGAACGATAAAGATAAGAAAATTGCTGAGTTAGAAAGGTAATTCTTGTATTATTTATTTTACATTGAGTGGCAATTTTATTTACTTGATCTTCATTGCAGAGCAGAATATGCTTTTTAACAGAATATTTGATATGTCTTGTAAAACTAAATCAGAAAAAAAAAGACTACCTGAAAACTGCATCTTCCATCTGTTGACTGGACAATTTAAGGTTTCCACTTTTTTAGTAGTCTCCATGAAAGGAACACATATAGGAAAAGCCATAGGCAATTTACAGTGACAGCAGCTCTCCAAGAAAACCTTGTTGGGGAACAGTCCTGCCTTTTAGTAACTGGTAAATCAAAACTGTCTCCACATGTGTTTCTTCAGTGTGAACAGCATCACTAGTTCTCAGAGGTCCTGAAAAGTATTGGTAAGTATTTCTAACCAGTCTCATGCCTATTTAATAAGAGTTGTAACTATGTATGACTGATTCTGTAGTCTTTGTCCGCTTCAAATTAATATTTTCTGATGTTGATTAGGCAGTGTTTGTTTTATTTCTGGGACTGTTGTTCAGTCTCTTCCTTAATGGGGACAGGATGGGTTTGGGATCCATTTGTCTCATGACTTTTGAAATTAAATTATTCTTGGATCCTTCTCCCATACAGTGTACTACAATTTATTTAATTGATAAGCAATTTATATGGTTTTATTTCTTTGTTTCCTTCTTTTACTTAGCATCTCTTAGGTAAATGAAAGAAGGAATTTTATGTTTTCAGATATTTTATATAATTGTTTTCAGTGATAAAGTCAGAAGAAAAGCACTTCATGGTTCCAAAAGAGAAGTTTAGGGGATCTGTTGTGATTATTGCTATAATTCAAGTGAAGGCATAGTAGTCTCAGTCCCATTAGGAAGAATTACCATGAAAGAGGGGAAGATATGCTGGAGATGTTGGTTACCTTAGAGGGAGAAAAACAGCCACCTTGGAAAGGAAGATGTATAGAGTATCTTTTACTGATGATGACTTATGAACATTCACAATTATCTGTTGCCAAAACTTGTCTTTCTCTGCAAACATTTGGCAAAGTTTAATAATGATAATAGGCAATGGTATATAGTTATCAATCTAAGTGTTATGAGAATCAAGACCTCAAATTTAAAGTGGAAAAAAAAAAGATTTGTACTCAAAACAGAACTGAGTGTTTACATGAGGGTAACTTTAATTAGCATTAACCTCTCTCACGACATCTAAAAGAGTTTAGAATATGATAGTGTTTGCATCGATTTTAATGTGTAAAGTAGATACCAGAGGCAGCTAGCAATGAAGAGCAGTCACTTTGTGCGTCATGATGGTGGATTCTACCTAAGCTCTCCAAAATCCTAAAACAGCATGTTGGGAAAAGATGACATGGTTAGTGAGTTTCTGTGGTCAAGAAAGTGCTGCCTAGTGCAGCCATTGGTTCATCTACTGTAGGGGCAATTACAGACCTATGCTTGTAATAGAGTGACTCCAGGTGTGACCAAGCTGGTGGAAACTGACTGTATAGTTTTTACAGAAAGAGTAACTGATATCCTCATTGGGCTATAAGACCTACTGAATTATTGTGCACACTAGGTGCAATAGCAGGCATATTGAACTTTTGTTCAAGAGAATTGCTAAGTAGCATCATATATGTGTTCAATGTAAATGGCAATTAGGATTAAAAGATGAACATGATAAGGTAGTGAAGCTTGTGATCTAAAATTATTAGCAAATGATAATGTGATTTAAACATTTTATATAAAAAAGAGATAAAAAATCAATTTAGATCAGTAGATTTATTTGAGTTCAATTAAGAATTGTTGATTACAAATCAATAATTACAAAGATACAAGGAACCAAGGGATGCAGAGATCTTACAACGGCCTTGTCAGCATACCCCATCTTACTGTCTGAGAACCCTTAAAATGGGTTATCTACAGCACAGAATTTTCTATTTTTGTATTAATTTAAAAAAAAAAATTCAATGCACTTTTATCAGTGAAATTTTGGGACACTAATTTCCAGTCTGTTACTGTTCATGAAGGTGTTGATCCTGGACTATGATGAAGTAGTTAAGATTTGCTATGAACCTGTAAGTGCTTCTGTACTCCTTACAATAAGGAGTGTTGTGGCATGACCAGCTAAGGACAGTAGTATGTTGCAATTTTGGGAAATGATCATGCTCTAATGTGTGTAAACTCTTATCAGCTTTAGTGCAGTTTCTCTCTTGATTTAACTTATGTACAGCTTTCAAGACTAATTACAAATTCTTATGCACACAGTATATCTAAGTTAATTATTGTAAAGTAGAATTTACATAAAAATTACCTATTATTGGTTTCATCAATGGAAGTTACTGCCTTAACTTGGTAATGGAGTCTTAAAGCTACTTTCCACCATGCACAAGTACAGACACAAATTCATTGGTTGGTACAATAAAGCTAGCAATCTGCTAGAAATATAAAGGTGGAGTAGGGGTTTTTAAAGAGTGGGTATCTAGTCAGGCTCACCCTAGGTTTCTCTAAAATTTAATTTATTTTCTCTCCCTCTTCCTTATTTTCTAAAAATATTGGCCTGAAGATCTAAATCTGTATATAACTGTGCCACCTGTTGGCGTCCCTAGAGAGGGAACTTTGATGTTGAAATTCCCCTTTCTAGGGGGTTAGATGGAGTGTAAATTGCTGTAACATTTTATGAAGTGCTACTAGTTTTTCTGCTTGTAATGACTACTTGATTGGCTCATTATTGAAGGGAAGAGGTGGAGCCAAAGCTCAGTTTACCCACTTTATGGGAATAAAGCGTTGCAAAAATGACTGCAACTTTAACAGAAGCATATTTGAAAATATTCTCTCCTTCTTGTCCTGCTGTTTTGTAATTCATACAGTGTGCTCTAGGTTGCTCTTTTCTCTCCTTACTTTATCTCCTTTTTTTTTTCTTCATCAGAAACCGTGTATCTTCAACATTTCCCCTAACTTTGGATGCAAGGGCTTCTCTGCATTTTTTTAGGAAAACAAATGCTCTTTTGAAATATATTTGGTGGTTAATAGCTTGCTGGGATCCATATTCACTGCTATGCCAACATCTTTACATTGCAAGATAATTGCAAGAACATAAGTTCTCAAAGTTTACAAACATAAATTTCTGTGAGTGACAATCTAGAGTATTGCAAGTTATGGTATCTTCACCATATTTGTTATATTCACATACAAATTCATCAGCATAACGAGACGTACTTGTATAAATCAGCTTGAAAAGTAAAAACATTTGTAATAAAGTTATCATTTACAGACAAGATAATGAATACTAATGTTTTACTATTTGACAGAAAGTATTGATGCAGAAAGTGTAAAATATTCAAGGGTAGAACTGTCTTCTTAAAGATATGTGCAATTAAATTTATAAAGGTATGCTATTTGGCAGATGCACATTATTAATAATCCTGAAGATTTCATATGAATGTTAATTTTTCTGGTTTTAGTGTGATTTTCTTGCTTCCGAAGCTATCACACTTCTGAGTTGCATCACTTAAGATTCGTGATTTGTCCTATTCCTCCTATGTACAAATATGTTGGTCTGTTTCTTAAATTACTCCATATATATTCATTTTGTATTTTATAGATTCTTATTGCTACATAGGAGAATCAATTCCTCCTCCTATACTAAAACTGCTCGATAACTTTTATTGCATCTTTCATGATTTATCTGTTTATAATGAGAACAGGTTAAAATTAAATGTAAAATATCCCAGCATAATGTACCTTTGGTAAACTTAGCTTGGTGTTTTTCTCTGGACTTCTTAAAGAAGGAAATGCAGTGTGGATTTTTGGTTTGGTTCGGTGGGGATTTTTTGATAACGTAGATGAAACTGGATAAGATGGTGATCAGCTTAAATTTTAATGTGAAGGACCTAGCCAAAGGGAGGTAACTGCAGCTCAAAAGGAACTGTCAGGCTGGAAGAAGTATATTGTTTAATGCTTTTATTAATGGTGTTAGAATGAAAAGTATATTTATGAAATATACTAGGAAGCTTGAATAATGAAATCAAGTGAAATACAATAGTACAAAATGCCTGATTGTGAAGTTAGGACCAGTAAGACTGCCTGCTGTAAAATAAGGATAATCCTTGATACAGTTTAGGAAGAGAAAGATTGGGTGAATTTGCTTATGGCAGTGTCATTATGAGCTAACTAAATAATGAAGCAGACATCTAAATAATGAGGTGTGAGTTCTGATATGTCAGATAAGTGTTAGCAGTAAGGATAGGAAGGTATTAATGTCATCAAGTGCTAGCAAGACTCCATGTGGAACACTGCTGTATACTTCTCATCAGTCATATTCGAGAAGGTTGAATTAAAACTGGAAACAGGTGCAGAGAGGGCTGGTAGGATAATTAAGGGAGTGGAGCGCTCATGTCACAGGAGGAGTCTAAACAACAGTGGTTTGTTTCTGTGGCAAAACAAAGGCTCGGTAGGGATGCTTGTTCTCTATAAATATGTGAAGGGGTAAGCACTGCGCTGAAAGAAAAGTGATTTTAGTAAAAGAGTGTTGACACATAATACAATGGATATAATTATCCATTAATAAATTTAGGCTGAAACAAGAAAGAAAGGAAGAAAAAGTTTTCTAATTCTCAGAGGAATGAAGGTGTTGGAACAACTTTCTAAAAGAAAAAAAAAAAGGAATGAGAAACCTAACTAGTTTTAATACGGAGCTTGATAAATTTATGAACCTGATTATGATGTGGCTGCCTGCAATTGCATGCACAATTCCAGTCCTCAGAACCAGATTATTTGTCCCACTTTTACAAGAATAGTTTGCTGTTAGCAACCTGTGTGCCTGTCATTCCTGTATTAATTTTACCTTACTTAACATTCCATAAATATCTATGCAAACGAATTGCTTATATTGAGTGGTTTCTTAGGGATAAGAACTGTAACTAAGTGCTCTCAGAACATAAGAAAGGCAGGTTTCCTATTGCCTACATTACGCCCTTTGGATTAAATCAGAACGACTGGGAAAAAAACAAAAAAAAAGGCACTGTTTGAGCGTGTGTGAAACGGAGGATGAAAAAGGAGCAGAGAGGCTGCCCTTGCTCATGGGTCCTGACACTGTAAACAACATTCCAGTGTTCTCTGGAACCTCTTTTAATGCAAAGACAAATTCCTTGCAGGGAAGTGATGTATTTGGAGGAAAAGAACTAGATTAATAATTACTTTCTCAGGGAGGGCCATATTTAAAAATCCATTGTTGTCAATTTCTTTGAGTGCCCTTACTGGAGAGACCAGACTGCCTATCAACCTGCAAAACACAATTCAGGACACAGTGATCTCATAACTTGAGTCATCCCCAGGGACACAGAAGGAGTTTGGGCAAAGCTGATAATAAGAGAGAGAACAGGAGTAGCATGTTACCTCCCTCCCTTAAGAGAACAGGCTATGAACTAACCTGTCTGGTAAAGGATAAATATTGTAATCCAAATCAGGCTGTTGCTGCTTAAGAGCGAAATGCTGTAGCTTGATGTTGAAGTGATGAGAACACAGTGTAGAATGAAAAATCTTGGGTCTGTTTTTCTCCAGTGGTATGTTAGATGATCGGTCATTTGGTCAATTGAGTCTAGTTTCTCAACAAACCTTGTAACAATATAAATGCTCATTTAAAAATATTGTACTAGCTATCAGACAAGAGCTGTTTGCTTTTAAACAAGGTGTCAGGATTATTATTTTTTTTTTGTTCCTACTAAACTGAAAGGGCATGTTAGGCATTTTTTAACAAATAAGTTAATGAGCATCAGAATATTTTCAGTGATGAAATATTGACCTTATTCTTCAGACTGAAAAAAAATTTTTGTGAGCTTTAGAAGGGGTTGTATTTCCTGGAAGGGGCAAATCTCTGATTACTAGGTACAGTACTTTGTGAACTTTGAAATGGTATCTTTGACAAGCTGCCAAATTGTTTTTCTGTTTCGGCTTTCATGGGGAGACTTGAATGTGGGTCATCAAGACTTCATGCTATATGATGGGACGTTTGTACAGCAGCGAACACTACCAGTATCCATCTAATTTATTATTTCCGTTCAGTATGTGTATGCATTTGGATGGTTAAAAATATGGATGGTCTTTCACAGTCCACAATTGACAAGGTGCCATTTTACTTTAAAATTAGTGTTTTATTCAGTGCAAAGCAAGGATATACTGCTACAGAAATTTTATTTTACTTCTCGCTTTCCCTTGCCTTTCCTTTTCTTTATTTTTTTTTTAATAAAATCTGCTGATATAACATCTGCTTGTCATATTTTTAAAGAACTAATGTGTGCCTCCCTTTATTCTCTTTTGCTGTCTTCCTTCCTATCTGTTTTTCTCCAAACTGCTGCTTTCATCCCTACTCCAACCAGCTTGACTTCCAGGTTAGTATTTGCTACTCTCCTATTTAATTGCTCCTTCCGCAATGAAGGATTTCATTGATGCTTCATTTATTTGGCCATTTTGATTCCGTATTAATAACTTCTGTTTGTCTCTTTTTGGGTTTTGTTTTTATTTAGTTTGTCCCTGTTGTGAAGTTTTTGGTCATTCCATTTCTGGATCAGAAACTTTACAGTAAATGAATGCATTTGTGAAGAGTTTGTAAGAAAAAAATGTTTATTAACAACATATTCAATTAATATGTTGTTTTGTGTGAAGATTTTTTTCTTCTTTCAGTTTTACTTTTATTATCTTTGTACAGTGAGTTCAACACTGGGAATAACTTTGGGATAGACAACCCGACCCAGTAGGTAATGGATTGAACACTAACAATACTATACAGAGAGACTTATATTTAAGATCAGAGAGATCAGAGACTTATTCTTAATACTTTACCATCCCCACTTTTAGTGCCATTGCAAACATAATAGGATGAGTTGGAGTAGCTTAGCTTCTGGTTCAGCAATTTTTAGCTGTTTGTGCTGGCTAGATTCTGGATCAGAACATAACCACAAGGGACGTGTGTGTATGTTTTATATGCTGTGTTTTTATATAGCATCATTTAGTTAGATTAATGTGTTTCTTTCTTTCAGGTTTTAGATCAGTTTAGGGTTTGTAATTGTGCAGTGCTTTTGAGTAATCTTATAATTTTATCAAGTATTGTGTCTTGTGGTCCTTGTTGAAAGTAAAAATCGATTGTCAAAATTTTTATAGTCTCCTAGTAGGCCTTGATGTTAATTTTTCTTCCTCATGCTGTAAAGTGTAAATTAGTGAAGTCTTAAAACATCTACTTGGTATTTTAGAAACTAATAACTTTATATGGTTTCGACTACAGGCTCACCTGCTTCTTCCTTTCCCCATTTGTTTCAAAGTCTGGCTGTTTTTTTACTTTTTCCTGTGACAAGTATTTAAGACAGTTCTATACTCTTAAGCTCATCCCTTATTTTTCGGTTTCCTAAGTTGGTGATTGAAACTCGCACAAAGTTTTATTTCCTGTACTGAAGGAGCTTTGCTTTAGGCAGGAACAGACCTGGTTTTCAATCATTATTAAGGTAGAAAGTGTTTATTTCTTCATACATCAATTGGACTGGGATATAAAGGAGAGTGTTTACTGCAAAGACTTTCCAGGTGGATTTTGTGTACCAAAATTTTGCATTTGCAGGTATGGTCCAGGTATCAGGTTGCCATGCAGCACATTTTGACTAGAATCATGGCAAATGTCCAATCTGCCTATATAATATGTTCAGATCTGAAGTTTCAGTTTTTGATGTCAATGTATACTTTTTACACAACATTGTTCTCTATTCATATAGAAGCAGAGCTTGTCAGCTTAAGAGAGTTTTGGTATCTTAGTCTCAAAACCAAGCACAGTTCACATTTCACGGTTCAGAGTGTCAGAGAAGTTTCTGACATGGATGTCTTCGAACAGTTTGGCAAAGGATGGCTCATTATTAAAAGATTGACAAGACAAGGTTTTTTCCCTGATGTGCTTTAATGTATATTGCAATTGCAAGTTACTTTCCAGCTGGAAAATTTTGTTTCTGAAAATAGAGGCTTACTGATTGCAGTAATGAATCAGATAAACCCTTTCTGTTTATTACTACAAGCCCATGTTGATGTCCTGGATTGGATAGTTATTACACCTGAATTATGAAAATATTTAAACAATTTATTTTCAGACTCTTTCTTTTTTCCAAAGATTAATTAAATGTGTTTACTCTGGAGTTGCCTGTGATGAAATTATTGCCTGAATATGACCACTCTGGCATTTCCATCAGAATATACTCAACATTGATTGAAAATCTCTCTAGCCAAATAGAGCTTAAAGAAAGGTATTATGCTATGTGGTTGTCATTATGGTTGGTTTCACTGGAATTCAATGATTGGTATGCAGAAACATTTGTTCAGCAGTTGGAGGTGCAATTTCTGTTATGTTTTATTGACCTAAAAAACCAGCTGACCTTGCTGAAGCAAACTGTCTTCATAACCCTGCCAACTTTTATCCCTAGAGTCCTAAATAAGTTGTAGCATATGATTAGAGTTTATTGTGGGATTTCAGTGAAGTGTTAAGTTTTTGCAGCTTGAATCGTCATTAAGGTCAAAACTTAATTTAAGAAGCAGATTATTAATTTGTTTAATTTCTACTAATCAATATGTTCTTACCTGTCATTTTATTCAACTCTATTTATATAGGATTGAGTGATCAGAAAAATGCTGCATCTGTTTCATAACATGATGGGCTATTGATATTGGTGGCAATCAAGAAAATTGAATACATTGGCATAACCCCTTACCCCCATGTGCATCTACCTATACAATAATAAATGTTCTGAGCAAAGGAACCTGGACAGTAAAGGTTTGGGGTTTTTTTTCATTTAGATTACAGCAATTTATATACTCCCCAAAACTTTTCTGGCTGCAGATAAAGAGAAGATGGATATTTTTTCCATGTATAATATACTGATCAGTGCTAGAAATTTTCCCACCAGCCTCTGGTGTTTGCCTTCCTAATTGTTTCCGTGGGAGACGAAAGCTCAATGTGATGTGTAAGGCAAGGTTTAACAGAGTTTTAAATTTAACTTATGAGCCTTCCACAGTTTTGTCAAATGTCAGTTTGATGGTTCCAAGGGCAGGGTGATATGTTGTTCAAAGATAATTTCCCTGGAGAAATTGAGATAGTGTACTAATGAAAACTGAGAGAATCTGTGATATACATTACTCTTCTGAGATACTGGTTATTCTGAGTGAGAAACATAGTTGTCACATTGGATAGCAGGCAGATTGTTGTCATTTCTTTCTGTTATAGTCTGTTTGCTACATATACAGAATGAACATTTTAACTTGTAAACATTGTAACATTTAAACATTTTGAAAGAGATGAAGAACTGAGATTTTAGAGATTTTTCTGATTAGATGTGTGGTTTTGAATTTATCTGCATTTACATTTGATTATATTTAAGAAATACGGAAGCAGAAAGTTTATTTCCTTGGAATTCTGCATTATTAAAAAAAGGTAAAATAATATATTACAAAATAAGCAGAAATCATTGTGATGAACAATAAAAAGATACAAATGGATCCCTGGAACAAGAGAATGCATTACTATCCATTTATGTCCCACTCACTCCTGAACCTGTCTGCTCAGTTCTATACTTTGCCCTTTCAGTTTGTTTAAAGACACACAGAGGCTCAGATAATATAATTTCTGAGACAACTTTAAATTTAAATTAGGAAGGATATTTAGTGATTTCGCAGTCATGCTTTTTTTTTTTTTTTTTTGATTTGGGATGTACATACTCTGCAAATATCCTGGATGTGCAGCATAAGCTGGATATGAGGAGAAAGGAGGATTGGGTTGGACCTGACAACGTAATTCTGTTTGGGGAAGAGAGAACATAAGGAACTGCTACTCTTTCTGTTTCATGGTTATTAATCCGAAGACAGAGCAATATTTTTTATGCTTCTCTAGACCTGCTGCTTCCACTAGTTTTCCTCAGGGAGAGGATCCACAGAGCATATTTCTTGACCCCGTGAATGTGTGAATAAATAGCCATGCAGCACTCTTCTGGGGAGCTTGGTAACTGCCTGGGTGCAATGCTGTCAATATAATTTCTGGAACAACTTTAAATTTAAATTAGGGAGGATATTTAGTGATTTCGGAGTGTTTTTTTTTTTTTTTTTTTTTGATTTGGGATGTACATACTCTGCAAATATCCTGGATGTGCAGCATAAGCTGGATATGAGGAGAAAGGAGGATTGGGTTGGACCTGACAACGTAATTCTGTTTGGGGAAGAGAGAACATAAGGAACTGCTACTCTTTCTGTTTCATGGTTATTAATCCGAAGACAGAGCAATATTTTTTATGCTTCTCTAGACCTGCTGCTTCCACTAGTTTTCCTCAGGGAGAGGATCCACAGAGCATATTTCTTGACCCCGTGAATGTGTGAATAAATAGCCATGCAGCACTCTTCTGGGGAGCTTGGTAACTGCCTGGGTGCAATGCTGTCAGGATTCTTTGTGTACAGTGGAGGGCTGTGTGTGTGAAGAATCATTGTGAGATAGTACAGCTTACCCTCAAAAAGCTGTGACTGAGAAGAGACAGGGGAACTAAATTTAGGAATGGGTTGGTGGAACCACTTCTTCCACTCGTATTGTTTGCTTCCATAATGCAAGAGCAACATGCCTGGACAATGTGATTGTGAGTGGCTTGAAATGCTCTGATCTGAATTTATAATAAGGGGAAGTTAGTATGTTGAAACAAGAAATCATACAAAGTGTATCTGATTTATTTGGAGATCTGCAGAGGTTACTGCAAAAACATGGAAAGTTTAATTTATGTTTTGAATGATAATGGCAGGATTGATCGAGAGAACTGCTAGGTTGAGCCAGGAGTTGCAGTCGAAAGATTTGATTCAGAAGGAAATTGCAATGAAACATGAAGTGCAGCAGAGGAGGTTTGATCCTGATTGCTGGCAAGCTGAGCTGGACACGCTGTGCAACAGCTGGATGCAGAGACTAACTGGACAAAGTCAGGAGTTGATAGGGATTTTGGGGGGGTATTTTTTTGGGTTTGGTTGGTTTGTTTGTTTGTTAGGGGGGGTGGGTTTGGTTTTTTGTTTGTTTTTTAAAGAAAAGTGTACCTGGACAACAGCTGGAAGGAACCTTATGAAGCAGCAGTAGGACTGCAACTCCTTGGTTGCAAATATCAGGCAACAAACTATTTCCAGTTACTGGTTACTGCTATCGCTAATGGTATGAATTACTAAAATAGCTGAGCAAGTAATTGCCATATTGAATCAGATCAAATATCCTTCTCATCTAGTGTCCTGTCATCAGCAGTTTTCTTTTTTTTTATTTAAAGAAGAACATCAGAAGAAAATGCAGAACAATTCTTGGTGTACAAGATAGATGTATGACAGATGATTCTTCTGGTACGGATTTCAC